GCCAATTCACCCCCTCTTGGCCATTTCCATCAATCGATTAACTCAACACACTTGAAGACTAATTTTTAATCTATCTTCACACCTCGATCAATTGAGCAACATTTCTGATCTTGTTACTCTAGCATGCCAGCTGAAGCTGAACACAACTTCAGTTTGTCCATAGTCACCGTCTTTGTTAACATGTCTGACGGATTTTGAGCTCCACTAATCTTTTCAAGTTTCAAAATCCCATATTTTAGAAGAGACCGGATAAAATGATATCGCAATTGTATGTGCTTCGTCCTGGAATGAAAAGACGGATTCTTCGCTAGATAGATAGCACTTTGACTATCGCAATACAAGACATTGTTTTCTTGTTTCTTGCCTAACTCTTCCAAGAAACTTTGGAGCCAAACCATCTCCTTGTTGGCTTTCGTAACAACGACATATTCTACTTCAATTGTGGAGAGAGCAACTATCTTCTGTAGTTGAGAAACCCAACTCACTGCAGTACCTCCTAGAGTATAGACATACCCTGTAATGCTTCTTCTGATGTCAAAATTTCTGGCTAAGTCAGCATCTACATAGTCTGTCAGTATCGTATCTCCACCTTTGAAACAAAAGTCTTTGTTTGTAGTACCCCGCATATATCTGAGGATCCATTTGACTGCTTCCCAGTGTACCTTTCCCGGATTATTCATGTACCTGCTAACAGCTCCCACTTCTTGAGCAATATCTGGTCTAGTACAAACCATGGCATACATCATACTTCCAATTGTTGAGGCATACGGTACCTTCACCATGTATGCACGTTCTTCCTCCGTCTTTGGTGACTGTTCTTTGGAGAGTCTAAATTGAATACCTAAAGGTGTACTTATTGGTTTAACATCTTGCATGTTGAACCTGGAGAGTACTTTGTTGATGTACTCAGCCTGTGATAACATCAAAGTCCCCGACTTTGTGTCTCTCTTAATCATCATCCCAAGAATCTGCTTTGTAGCTCCCAGATCTTTCATTACAAACTGCTTCGACAATTTTTACTTCAAGTTTATAATCTCTTGCATGTCTAAGCCTGCAACGAGCATGTCATCAACGTACAACAATAAAATAATGAAGTTGTTGTAGAACTTCTTGATGTAACAACAATGATCTATTTGGCATCTGGTAAAACCACTGCTACTCATGAAACTATCGAACTTCTTGTACTACTGTCTTGGAGGTTGTTTTAAACCATACAAGCTCATCTTCAACCTGCATACCAGGTTTTTCTTCTCTGCCTTCTGGCTGCCTCATATAGATTTCTTCCTTCAAATCACCATGAAGGAAAGCTGTCTTCACATCTAACTGCTCAAGATGTAAATTCTCTGCAGCTATAATTTTCAACACCAGTCTGATTGTAGACAGTTTTACGACTGGAGAGAAAACTTCATTGTAACCAATACCTTCTTTTTGCTGAAAACCTTTAACAACCAATCTTTCTTTGTAGCGTTTGCTCCCATCGTGCTCTTCTTTGATCCTGTAATTCCACTTGTTATGGAGCGCTTTCTTGCCTAGTAGTAATTCAGCTAATTCCCACGTCTGATTTGACATAAGCGAGTCTATCTCATCTTTCATGAAAGACTCCCATTTTACTGAATCCTCCACCTGCATTGCTTCATTATAGCACTCTGGTTCACCATTGTTAGTCAGTAACAAGTAGTACAAAGAAGGCGAATAACGCTGGGTTGGTTTAGGAATTCTAGAGGAGCGTCTCAGTTCTGGTGTTCATGGTTCTTCTTGAACTGCTTCAGGACTGATCTGAACATCATTTCTAGAAATCTCCTCAAACTCAACAAATTCATTTGTTCAGCTTCGGTGTTAGAGCTACTTGATTCTATGGTTGACCTGTCTTTGTACATCACATTCTCATTGAAAATGACATCTCTGCTTCTGATGATCTTCCGATTTTCATAATCCCAAAACCGATAACCGAACTCATCACCACCATAACCAACAAAGACATATTTGTTGAACTTGGCATCAAGTTTACTTCTTTCAACAGAATTTATGTGTTCCTAAGAAATACAACCATACACTCTTAAGTGTGAAAGGTTTATTTCTTTCTTGCTCCAAACTTCCTATGGTATTCTACTATCCAAGGGAACTGAGGGCCCATGGTTGATCAGGTAAGCTGCAGTGTTGATAGCTTCATCCCATAGCAATTTGGGCAATCCGACATGTATCCTCATGCTTCTGGCACGTTCATTCAAAGATCTGTTCATACGCTCTTCTACGACATTCTGCTGCGATGTCATGGGAACTATTGTCTCCATCTTAATCTCATTGTTTGCGCAGAAATCTCTGAATCTACTATTTTTTTACTCTTCTTCATTATCAGACCTCAACCGCTTAACTTTCAAACCAGACTCATTTTCCATCATGGCTTTTCATTTTCTGAAGGTATCAAAGACTTCTGAAAATAGACACACACCTTCCTTGTAGAATCATCGATGAAGGTGACATAATATAATGAGCCTGCAAGAGATGGAACTGGAGATGATCCCCATACATCAGTATGAACCAACTCTAACTTTTCTGCCTTGGGTGTCTTGCCAATCTTTGCAAAACTGACTTTCTTTTATTTGTCAAAGATGCAATCTTCACATAGTCTGACATCTATATTCTTTAGATCTGGCAGTTTCCCTTTTGACAAAAGTCTATTCATCCCTTTCTCGCTCATATGGCCAAGCCTTTGGTGCCATAGGTTTGATTTTCCATCAGCATCTGCTACTGCAATGATATTCTCTAAATTTGAGGTTTCATAGAGAGTATCAGTCTTCTTACCACGAGCAATGACGAGTTCTCCTTTGGTAATCTTTCATTCACAGCCTGAAAATGTTGTACTATATCATTCTCCATCAAGCTGTCCTACAGAAACCAAATTTCTTTTGAGGCAAGGAATATGTCTCACTCCTTTCAGCTTCCAGGTGGTCTGGTCTGGCAACTTTAATCGGATGTCTCCTTTTTCGACTATCTTCAAGGTTTCATCATCAGCTAGATGAACCTTCCCAAAATCACCACTACATAGTTCTCCATGATTTCTTGGCATGGGGTGGAGTGAAAAGATGCCCTTGAATCCAAAATTCATGATTCAATCGGACTGTTGACGCTTAGAATCATGATATCACCTGTCTCCTCTGTCATGTTGGCAGATTTCTATGCGTCGGTATCTTTCTTCGGTGCTCGGCAATCTCTTTTAAAGTAACCCTTCTTGCCGCAATTATAACAGTTAAAATCTTTCTTTCATGTTCTTGATTTTCCCCTTCTAGATTTTGATCTGCCACGATTTGAATTTCTTTCTGAAGTTCTCCCTCTAGACTCCGTGTGCAAGGCTGAGGAGCTTGATGCTTCACCCGATTCTCTCCGTCGAATTTCTTCACTAATACCAGATTTCGAACATCATTGAATTTCAATTTATTGTTTCCCGATGAGCTGTTGACTGCTGTAACAGTATAATTCCAACTGTCTGGTAGAGATGATAAGAGAATTAAAGCTCGAACTTCATCATCGAATTCAATTTCCACGGAAAATCAACTGGGTTGTGATTGTGTTGAGTTCATTTAGGTGTTGAGCCATTGATGCCCCTTTCGTCATCCGCAAATTGAATAATCGCCTCATCAAGTGAACTTTGTTTGAGGCCGATGGCATCTCATACATACTGGAGAGAGCCGCCATAAGACCCGCCGTGGTCTTTTCCTTTGCTATGTTGAAAGAAACATTGTGGGATAACGTCAGTCGAATAACTCCGAGGGCTTGTCTGTCGAGAAGAGCCCAGTCTTCATTCTTCATGACCTCTTGTTGCTTTCCTAAGAGAGGTTGATATAGATTTTTCTAATACAGAAAATCTTCAACTTGCATCTTCCAAAAGTCAAAGTCTACACAATCGAACTTCTTAATTTTTCACATTTTCTTCGTCTGTAGCCATCGCTCCCACTCGAATCTGGCTTCTTTTGGATCATTTCTGATAATTCTTGCGAACCACTGTGTATTAAAACACGTCCGTCGACAAATTCGTATCGCCAACCAAATTTTATTATTCACGAAATTTACTATTCATGTAAATAGTAAACTCGCAGAAAAACCGAAATAATTCACCACCAAAAACTCTGATACAAGTTGTTGAGAAATAAAACGAGTAATTTCCTATATCCAGATTAGTGAGAATGCAAAATAAAAGCGAAAAATAATACCCGAAAATGATAATGAAGTTCAGCCAATTTTACCTACGTCTCCAGACTGATACAGATCTTTTACTAAAGAGAAAAAATTTACAAGTATTTATAAAATACTCACAACTCGTAAGAAAACTCTCTAGTATTAGGAGAAAAAAATAATTTGAGATGATTTTAAAGCTAAATGGATAAGAGTATTTATAATTGAAGTTTAAAGACTAATTTTTAAAAATACTCTAAAGTGCAGTGACTAAATAACAATTATTCATATTATCATTTTAAACAAAATTAAACACCGAATTTGATATTCCTTTGTTGAAATCCATTTAGCCTATGCTCCTCTTTTTTGACTTTACAATTAACACACTAAAACAATTGTAAAATAAAAAAAAATACGACCTAAATGAATTTTAATAAAAGAGCATTAAATTTGGTGTTCAATTTTGTTGAAAATGATAATAAAAATAATTACAATTTAATCACTCCATTTTAAAGAGTTTTTTTATGAGTTATGATTGTTTTGTAAACACTTGTAAATTTTTTTTCTTTAGTAAAAATTTTACAACATTCTAGAAAGGTAGATAAAATTAGTTAAATTTCTTTATCAATTTCAGATATTATTTTTTCGTTTTTATTTCACATATCTGATTATAAAAAAATTACTCGTTCTATTTCTCAACGACTGAAATTTCTCACTCTTAAACCGATAACCATAAGTATTTATGGAACTATTGAACAAGTTCAGCAGATTTGTTATCAGAAGGAAAAAAAAAACACCCGCCTACAAACTAAAAGACACATATCAAGTAGAAATGGCTGCAGGGGTTTAAGCCTGCGCAGAAACGACCGACAGGCATATAAATCATAGCTAATATTTTTAATTCAATTTGGAAGATCGAAAATGATGTAAAATTTGCAGATCCAGTAGATCCTACTCAAAAGCGAATTATTTTTTTTTCAGGGGAAAAATTCAATCAAAGTTTAAGCCATCGACCACCAATATTAACTTATTGTCTCAAAGCTTTACTCCAAAACAAAATGAAGTTTCTTGCAGTAGAACTTCCATAAAATAAAATAAAAAACCATATTCGAAATTCAAAATCACGCATCTTGTACACACTTAAAACTCCAAAATAAACAGAAAACAGCCTAGATCTTCAAATGTTTCACCAAAACTTCAGCATAAAACGAGATAGAAACAAATAATACAAAATGAGAACACTCACTTCCCTCGGCTACTACAAACAACAAAGCAAAAATCTCTGATCAAATACGACAGATCAAATCAACAGACGAAAGAAACAAAATCTTTAATAAAAGCAGGTAGAAAAGGCAACCTGTTATAATGAATTACGGCGTATGGAGTTTTAAGTTTAGAGAAAAGAATAGTGTTGAGCAGACCAGAGCACTTAAGCAGCGGAACTCAACGGCACAATGAAATTAGCCTCAAAACAGGGCCTTTTATAGAGAAAACGAATTTGGGTTACTGGGTACTGGTTTAGTCGGTATGGTGTTGGGTAGGTGTTTGGTAAAATAGTATTAGAGTGTGGGAAGACCGCACGTAGTCGTTGGATGTCAGGAGATTGTCCGATTGTAACTTGTGATGATTTGGTTTTGGGGTTGGTGGAAGAGAAAGACATTTTGATTTTTTTTAGGCTAAACTACATATTTAGTGCCTCAACTATCATCATTCCATTTTGGCTATTCAACTATTTTTTATTTTAAAATCATATCCAATATTATATTTTGATTTCATTTTAATCATTCAACGTTAAAAAATTAATTGTGATGATTATGTGTCATCATAAGGTAATGTCACATCATCATTGAAAAATAAAAAAAATATCTTGCCAGCATATTTGTGATTTTTTAATGGTAGATGACCAAAATATAACAGTATGTACGATTATAAAAAATAGTTAATTAACCAAAACAGAACAAAAGCTATAGTTGGGATACTAAACTTGTATTTTATTCTTTTTTTTATCCACTGTTTAAAAATAGCATTGATATTGATGTATCACCATAAAATAATATCACATCACCGTTAAAAAATAAAAATTTCACGTCAACAATTTTTTAATTTTTTAACAGATGATGGTCAAAATAAAATCAAAACATAACATTAGTGATTATTTTAAAAAAAATAATTGAATGACTAAAACATAACCAAAGTGATAATTTGATGACTAAATATGTAGTTTACCAATTTTTTTATGGTCAAAACTCAATTTATATAAAAGGATTGGCTTTTTTATTTGGTTTAAATGTCCCATTGCCTCTTAACTATACCATTTGTTATGGTTTCTACTTAAAGTAATTTTTTTAAATGTTTTACTTCTCAATTATAAATCATTACCTCAATTATAAATCATTATCTTGATTACCTCAAACTATTAACACCGTTAAAAATAATATTCACGGATCAATAAGAAGATATTGTCACCCTTAATATTTATTTTTATCTAAATAAATAAAAATATATTAAATAAAATAAAATTTATAGTATACCAAAAATATCTTTTTCCCCTCCCTTCCCCTCCCCTCCCCTCCCCCGTAACATCGCCATCGCTAACTTCAACACCTACATTTTTGTTTTCTTTATATTTCATCTCACTCCAGCTCTCCATAATCTTCAAAAATGAAAACTCATCCCCATCGTTGCATCACCATCATACATGCCACCTTCTCATACCGCTCTGCAACATAAATTTACAAGTTAAACAACTCAGAACACGCTTGAAAGATCCATCAGTGACAGAATTTATAAAAATGAATCAAACAAGAAAAAAAGTGAATTAGAAAAACACTCATTAAAAGTTGCATCAAACAAAAGCAAAAACAAACAAAACTTTAAATATGTTTGTGAAGGAGCTTGCAAAGTCCATAATGGCAGAATTTATGGATCTTCATAAAACAAAATTTAAAAAAAAATACTAATTTAAATTTGAATCAAACTAAAGAATATAAGTACAACAAATTTGAAACATGTAGGCGAAAAAAATACTCATTTCTCTTGGATGCGGCATAAGATCAAACACATCAAGAACAACAACAAAAACCCATATCAAAGTAGTACTATCTCTTACAAGTTATCTCTATATATATATTCATATAAAACTAAACAGATTTGCAGATCAAAAGCAAAGAAGGGAAGAAAGTTTACCAACGAAATTAACAAGAGCAAGTATGGCTGAATCTCAAAGAAGCCTCCAGTACCAAAAGCCAACACCCAACGAGAAAAACGTACACCAAGGATACCCTTTGAAAGCTTGAATGCATCAGAAACTTGGTTTAGAAGAAAGGATTCTTAAACCCCACAACATAGGGCAAAAAGAGAGAGATTGAACAAAGAGGAAAAAAAGAGAGAAAGAATTGAAATATTTTGTTTGAATTGAGCTTGAAACTAAGGATGAGCACGAGACTCGAATTAGACGGGTTCTGACCTAATTCAACTAGATCGAGTATGTTTTTTTTAAAAAAAAACTCAGGTTTGGATTGGATCAAGTTTTTTTGAAGGTGATATTCGGGTCGGATCGGATTCGGGTTTAGCGTGAAAAATATCCGACCCGACCTAAACCAAAAAATAATTTTATCTTATATATTTAGGAATAATTACAATAAAACCCTCTATATATTATTTTTTCAATTAAATCACTGATTTTAATGAATAAAAATAATATTTTCTATTATTTTGGATTGAATTTAGATTTTATCTCAAAAAAATTAGATTGAATTCGAATCGGATTTATTTGTCCAAAACCTAACTCAAACCCAACTCATGTTCAACTCTACTTGAAACATAACACAAGAGCACCTATATACTTGGTTGGAGAAAACAAGAAGTATGTCATATCAAGAGTTTTGGGATTGGAAATCAAAGCTGCTTTGCTTTGAAAAGCTTTATCTTCGGTGAAATCTCTGAGAAGTTACAGAGGTGATGGGGTAGGAGGGTGGTGTTGCTGGTGGAGATAGAAAAGAGGAGTAATTTCAGTAGTTTATTTATTTTATTTTATTTTATTATTTTTATTTATTTAGATAAATAAAATAAAAATTAAGAGGTGATTCATGTGTTTTGATTGATATGTGAATTTTATTTTTAGCAGTGTTAACAATTTGAGATAAACGAAATAACGGTTTATAATTGATGAGACAAAACATCTTAAAATATACTTTAAGAAATAACTTGATACAAATAATATAATTTAAAAGATAATGAGACATTTAAGCCGTTTTTTTCTTAAATGGATTTTAACGATAAACTTTGGACACTCACCAACTTTCTTTTCTTAAAAAATAAATTATAAATTTACAAAGAATATAATGACTTGAATATGTTCTCTGACATTCTTAAGTGTTGATGTCTTGTGTTTGCTTTTTTACACCCTTGACTTCTTTTTCCTTCCATTTTAGAGATCCACTTGCGCAATTTTTATTTTCAAAAAGCCGGCCTTCAAAGAAGGGTGGTGGCGCAGTTGGTTAGCGATTAAATCTCATTGCTGTTGTGTCATCCTGAAGTCGAGAGTTCGAGCCTCTCTCACCCCACGGTTGATATTCCTTCTCTTTTTAATCACCAAAGATACAGAGACGTGAACCGCATATTGGGATGGGAAAGTCTTGCGACAGTCTTAATATTAAAGAAAAAAGTTATTAGTTTTGTTATTATTCTTTTAATAAAATCAGTAAAAAAATTATTGGAAAAAATTATTATTTTTATCAGTTTTGTTATTATTAGATGTTTTATCGATTTTGTTAATATATCCAATAAAGCATAATCGATTTTATTATTTTTTTTTACCAATTTTATTATTATTAAATACTTATCAAAAATGTTAAAAAATTAATTTTTTAAATAAAAATAATAATATTTAAGGTAACTTTTTATTGATTTTATTATTAATAATAATAAAACTGATAACAATTTTCATTAACCGTATTTTAAGGTAAAACTCCCCGTATTGTGATTCAAGTTTACATGAAGCAATAATCTTGAAACCCGTGCAGGGTCATGTCATGTCAGGTTTGATATTTTCTCTTTATCTTTATTTTTAAAAGAGTAAACTGTACTAGAGACTAAATTATGATAAAAAATTAATATAATAATTAAACTTTTAATTAAATCAATCAGATTATTCGTAGTTAATTTTTAATAGAGGTAGTGTCGTGTCGATTAATAAAATTATTATAATTATATATTTGATCTTTAATATTTATATATTCTATTAATGTAGTCACTATTTTAATTCAATTAAATAAATTTAATTATCTAATTAGAATGTAACACGTATCAATACATAATTTAAATATTTTATTTATGAATTTTAAATTATTTAACTAAATGAAAATAAGAGACAAACCTGCTTTTAAGGAGAATGGAACCAATGTTAAGGGTAAAGTAACAACAACAACAACAACAAAATCCTATTCCTATATGCAATGAGATAAAGGGGAGGTAGGGTAGTAGGATGTCCTCCAACGCCAGATTGAGAGCAGCTTCCGTGGAAGACCTCCGACAGTAAAAAAAAAAGATAAAAAGATAAAATACAATGCATGTTTAAATAAATAAATAAAATACGTATGTGAACAATCTTCATATGCAGTCTTCATATGAACGTCTGTAATGGGAAGTAATCCCTATAAATAAACCCCTACGTAAAAATATCTGCATATAGACAGAAACGTAAGACCCGACTAAAATTATAAAGAGGAAACATGAAGAGCAGTATACACAGAATTCGATAGCAGGCTTCGAGAAGGGATAAAGTCAAATGGGTTAAAACCTAAAACTAAGGCAACACTACTCTGCTACCTTAGTTCTAGTCCTTCATTAATTCCAATGATAGAAACGTATAAAAAGTATAAGTGATGAAATTACTACAAAGGCATTAAAAGAAGACAAAGATAATACATCCAATAGATGTGACTCGCCCTACTCGGCTATCTTGGTCTTAAGTCGCCATAATTTCCTATCAGAGGTCATGTCCTCAATAAGGACTAAATCATTGGACCCAAGCACCCAAATCATTGGACCAAAGGTCATAATGGTTTAAACTTACAATAATTTGTATCTGACTTGTAAAAGTTTGTTAATGATAAAAAATTAAACTAATTATTTATTTAAATAAATTATTTTTTCTTTAACCATTAATCGAACTAAAATTTATTTGAAAATTAAAAAAAATATTTTTTAAATAAATTATTTTTTAACCGTTAATCGAACCAACCTTTATTTATTTAAATAAATTATTTTCCTTACAACAAATTATTTGTTTAAACAAATTATTATTTAAATTAATTGTAAACTATTTTTAATTAAAAATATTCAATTGTTATATAAATTATAAAATTTTAAAAAAATTTGGTTAATTCAAAAATTGATCGAATTAACCGAAATTTGTTCGGTTCAGTTAATAATTTTCAAATAAATTTCGGTTCGATTAACGATTAAATGAAAAATAATTTATTTAAACTAATAATTTCTTTAATTTTTTATCATTAACAAATTTTTACAAGTCAAATACAAATTGTTGTAAGTTTAAACCATTGAGGACATTTGGCCCAATTGTTTGGGCGCTTGGTTGCTTTACCCCTGGTTCGATTCTCTTTAAAATCAGGTTTGTCCATTTATTTTCATTTCAATTGGGTGGTGACACGTGTTACCACCCAATTAGATAGAAAAATCATTTAATTAAATAATTTAAAATTCATAAATAAAACATTCCACTCATGTATTGACACATGTCACGTTCTAATTAGATAATTAAATTTATTTAATTGAATTAAAATAGTGACTAAATTGATAGAATATGTAAATATTAAGGACCAAATATATAATTATGCAAATTTTATTAACGGACATGTCACCACCTCTGTTAAAACTTAACGGCCGATGGTTTGATTGAATTAATTAAATAGTTGGATGGTCTGATTGATTCAATTGAAAGTTCGGTGGTAACATTGATTTTTTACCATAGTTTAGTGGTCTCCTGTGTAGTTTACCTTTTTTAAAAATACCAAAAAATGTTGGTATTTTAGTGAAATCTTTAAAAATAATTATGTTTAGTGAAATTTTACAAAAATATATATTTTTTTATGAAATATTAAAAAATAAACTTTACGGAATTTTTAAAATATATAATTTGATGATTTTTTTTTAAAAAATATATAATTTGATGAATTGTTTTAAAAAGAAAATTTAATGGAAATTTGTAATACATATTAATGAATTTTTTAATATATATAATGATTTTTTTAAAAAAATTGCATACTAAAAATGAGGAGTGAGCATTAAACTGTGATGCCAGGGAACACCAGCTGATGTAAGAAATATATAATCTCCATTCTTATTTTCTGTGCTTGGGATTACTGTGCCGGCATATAATATATAGGTTGATTGGAAAATTTGTTATCGGAGAAGTATGATGTGCGACAGTTTAATATAGGCTAAATATGTTATCGGTTTTGTTATTATTTTTTTTAACAAAATCCGTAAAATGACCGGAAACATTATTATTTATACCGGAAATGTTATTATTAGGCTCTTTACCGGGTTTGATAATATATCCGGTAGAAAAAAATAATATTTTAGGTAGCGCTTTACCGGATATATTATCAAGCTCGGTAAAGCACTCAATAATGTTTTGGGTAGAAATAATAATATTTCTAGTAATTTTTTACCGATTTTGTTAAAAAAAATAACAAAATCAAAAATATCTTTCCTTAATCGTATATTAAGACTGTTATACCGTAAAATTTTCCTATGTTAGTAAACAGTGGAGCTTGATATATCCTGCAGTGCATGTGGATGGATGAAGCATTTATTAGCTAAAATTTGATTAACCTTAACCGGAGACAAACAGTGAAGGATTAACACTAATATAATGACTCTACTTTGTTAATTGGGGTTGGTGAGTTGGATTCAACAGCTTTAGAAATTTGAGGCAGCTCAAACTTTGACATCATATTAATACCAAATTGGTTCACACTTTCACCAACCATGATGAAAATGAAAGCCCAGTGGAGTTGGCGTAACCTGCTGACGTGGGCCGTAGGAATCAACAAAACCTGAAGATTTCATGGTTGCAGCCCGGGATTTCCCAAAAGCTTGGGAGGATAACCGCCACGTGTCGGTTGCAGGAAGTTGCTAACATGACTTGTCGGTTAAAATATGTGTCTTTTGTTAAAAATTAAATAATAGCTAAGTATTTAGTTAAGACTGATATTTATGTCTCTTTCTCTTTTTTTTTATTTTTCTCATTATCCTCTCTCTTTTTTTTTCATATTTAATCGACAGGCAACGTTGCGAAGACATTAATTTTAATATTAGTCGTTAACTGTTTATTTATGTTTTATTTTTATGTTGTATTTATGCTTTATTTTTATATTGCATTTATGATTTTTCATTTGTTCTTTTAGCATGTTTTCAGTTTTTAGTTTTTGTCAATTGTTCTAACTAATTCTTTCATTTATCATTTTAGGGTTAGATTTGAAAGTAACTCAATTTATCAAAATGATATTTATTTGTTATCATGTTGGGAAAATGTCATAAATATGTGCGTAATTTACATTTATCAGTATAAATTTTATTGTAATTTTATATATTTTTATTTTTTTTAATAAAACTGTCTACTTCAATTAAAAAATTATCTTTTGAGTTTAAAGTTAGGAGAAAATATTTTAAATTGACTCTGAAAGTTTTTTAAATTGAATTTTTTAATCTTTGATGTTTTTTATTAATAATCTTTGATATTTAAATAAATAGTAATATTTTACAAAATAATTTTTCAAATAAATTAGAGAATGAAGTCAAACTTGATTAAAGTTGGGATTCCAATAGTAATATTATAATAACCTCAATTTCAATAGGAAACTGAAAAATTAATAGTTTCAAGTTAATACTGAAACTAATCAGAAATTTACGATTTCATCCTTAAAAAATGATGTTTTTGCAATTTTCGTTGACTGAGAACCCCGATTAAAGTAAATTCTAAAATGATATTATTTGGGATAGTATCGAATAATTTGGTGGTGCTAATTTTGTGTTTTTGACATAATTCTCATGAATGGAGTACTGTTATTGTGCTTCCGCTGATGTATGTACAATTTATTAAAATGAAAGTTTGAGGGTCGGTTATAGGAGTGTTCAAAAATACTTGACCTGATTGATTCGATCGACCGACTTGTCAATTCGATTAAAAATATAAGATATTTATAATGAAAATACTCAATTTTTCGGGTTAAATATACGGTCTACTATTTTTTTTTTGGTTTTTGAGTCGAACCAAGGTCAAAAAATGTTATTCAACGAGTACATGTAATCACCATTTTTCTCATAACGCGAGTTCACCCAAATTCGATAAGGATCCGACCCGAAATTAACCCGAGCCCAAACCACCAATTTCTCCACTTCCACCTCTTTCACCGTAGTTGAATTCAAAGCAAACACAATTATTACAATTATTTTCACTTTTATCATTTTGTTTTAGAAAAAGTAAAAAGTAAAAACAAATAATGATATAAAGAGCAAAAGCAAAAAAGCAAGTAAAAAAAAAAGCAAACAGAAAAGCTAAAAAAAAGTAAGGAAAATATGTAAAGATCAGGGGCTATAAGTATCCAAACAAAAAATGTAATAGGGGACTTTTTACGATCCATATCAAAAAGGGCACTAAAATAGAGGCAGTATTTTTTTAAGGTATTTTTTTTACAGTTTCAAAAACCCCTTGCATGCAATAAAAATATACAAGTCTAAAAGAAGGGTCGGGTAGTAGTTTACCTGAATCAGAGGAAACCTTCACGGTGGTCGGAGTTTGTAGGAATCGAATAGTCGGGGTTAGATTTATAGTTGTTTGGTTTTGTTTAGGAAAGTTTTAGCCTAGATTAGGAGACTAGAGTTGTAGATCTAAACGAAATGATCATTTTGAATGAATTTGGAGATTCCGACATCTTTTCAATGTCCATTGACTTTTACATTAATATTTTGTATTAAATGCTTACACGCCATATATATCATGATATTATGTTCACATATATTATTCCTTTTAATTTAGCATATCATTTATTATAGTATGAATATATTACATTCCATGTGTGAGCGATTTTATATTTAATGTATATTCAAATTATTAAAATTTATTTCGCTTTCCAAGTATTAGATTTTGTATGATATGGTTTGGTTATAGGCGTAAGTTTAAATATATTTCACACATATTATAGACATCTCATGGTTTTATAATTTGTATAACCCCTTTTACTATGTTTTTTTACGACTAGCCCCTACTATCTCTTGCTTTATGATTTAGTCTTAGAACAAGTTTTTTTTTATTTTAGATTAAACTTTTAGATTTAGCTTTTCTTTAATTTAATCCACATTTAGTAAATTAGATTTGTGAATTTAGCCCATAGATTCAAGTCTTTTCACACTTTAGTCCTCAAATTTTTTATTTTATTTTGACATAATTAATTAAATCTGTTAGAGCCTCCATTTTAACTTAGATTTCAAATTAGTCTCTTAATTTAGGGTATAATTCGAGCCGACCCTCTCGTAAACACTCGAGGGTCCATCTCGGTTATTCAATTCAATAATTATTTAAAATCAAATAGGATTAATACTAGAAATTACATTTTTAGATTTAAGCCCCTAGGTTCTTTAATTTTCATAATTTGTTTTCGTAAGTTAGAAATAGCCTTAATTTACTACTAGTATAATTAGGATAAATAAAATTTTGCTTGATCGCATTGTTTTTATAAATCTGAGGCACTGTTCACTTATTAAGGAATTAATAGTATACATCCCGCGATCATGCTCAGGGGGTGACTACTGGTAATTCCCTGAATAAGTCAACATCATTTTCAAAACCGCATCATGGTTTTCTAAAAACAAGGCAATGTTCGGTTATTAGACATAATAGTTGATCTCTCGCATTTACACTCGGGGGCGAATGCTATCGATCTCAATAAACGAATACCCTTTTCAAACTTTGCATCCTTAATGACTTTTAAATTAAATTAAGACCGAACTCAAAATTTATAATTTTAAATATAGGGTAATCAACTAGGTACCAATTTTTGGGCGCTTGTGGGGGTGCTAATCCTTCCCCACGCATAACCGACTCCCGAACCTGATTTCTGGATTTTCTTAGACCCCAAAATATGGTATTTTAATAAAAATAAAATGTTTTATTAAAATCACCCAGTTTTTATGGTGTCCCAATCTCACCTTAAATGATTGGTGGCGACCCCTCACATTTTGATAAATCTTTTCAAAGAGAAAACCCCCAAGTCGGTATCAGTCTTTCCCCTCCCGGGCAAAAAACGGTGTTGACAGCTTGGCGACTCCGCTGGGAACTTTTGATTTTAAAACAAATTGAGAGTCGAGCCACGAGTTGGTTACCCTATATTTATTATTTGGAAATTACAAGTTCGATCTTATTTAATTTACTGTTCATTATATTATTTCTAAAAAGAAAAAAATAAATTTCTCTCTGATTAATGCTTACATTTTTGTGAATATTTAGGATTGTTGCATATCATAGCTCTAAACTAGAGCTCGAACCCTGTTTACCTAAGTAGAGAGAAACATCGCACCTCACGAGAAGTATTGGGCTTTCTTGTGTGGGTCTGACAAAGTATCTCTGGAAAGCATCATAAGTTGCCTATACGGATATTAGATATGAGGTACGCTTTTATTAGTGTGATCCCCTAAGTTGAACCCGATTCACAAGTCTGTAATGGGATATAATCAGGGGCAACCTTAACAGGTTGGAAAGATGGCTTGGGAACCTTTGCTAGAAACTAGCCTCGTATAGAGAATTTAGTAAGCCTACCCCGCTAGAGCCATGTGGATAGCCTAGGAGAACTAGAACACATGAGGTTAGGATTATTAATTTTCTTTGTATGTTTTTTTTTCAGTCTCAACTTTGAGTCATATTTATTTATTTTTGTTAAGATTACATTTCTGGACTAATCATTTCAACTAACTTGATTCTTGTTGTCTTGTTTCTACTAACATTGATTTCCTTTTGTATGCTTTTATTGCATTTTTGCATGTATCATTGTCATATCACATCATTTCATAAACGGTATTGATTCCCAGATTACCTAGTTATTATAAAAAGAGCTTAAGGCAGTAATGTCTTCCGATGGGACTGAGAATACATTCAGTATTTAGACCTAGTCCGAGTAAGGGAAGATGCGGTTTAGAGACAACCTTGTCACTACCGAAGAATTAGTTTTTCCAGATAAGGTAATTATCTGAGCCCTAGACTGAGAGAGAAAAGAGATGAGGCTAACCAGGAATTGGCGCAGAGGCGAACACAAATTGAGCAGCTCGAAGCACATCTGCTCAGTTTGGATGAGACTTTTTAGAACCTTACAACAGTAATGGATTCCATCTTCAAAAAGAAAATGAGATGTTGAAGAAGAGGATAATGGAGCTAGAAGGAGCAGGGTTGATCCACTCATCCACACAATAGATTACCAGACAGGAAAATACGGCCTTAAAAGCCAAGATTACTGAGCTAGAAGTTACAGTACAAAGATATCATCGGTGAATTCAGCAGTTAGAGGAGAGCCGACCATTGACTAATCTAAAACTTGGAATCGTACTATGGCAAGCTTAGGACACTATTCAGAGACAACATGATGCAATGGTGAATCAGGTCAATGGTGTTGCTCGTCAAGTCTACGAATTATCTGAAGAATCGGCAGCCTTAAGAGAACAACACATCATGAGTTTGATGATAGAGCTCGAAAGACTAGGGGATAGGGCAAGATTCTATGTTTAGTTTCCATGTTGATTATTCTTTTTGACTAAGTTCTTAGACGTTGTGTGTTGTTGAGTACCTTTTGTATAAACTAAGTTATTTTGGAATCAATATCGGGTTGCACTTGCATCTGCATTTGCATTTCTTGATTTTGCATTTACCCTTATATCTTACTTATTTTTTATACGTCTTAACTTGTTTTCTTTTTGCCTTTCTCTTTATTGCATCATATTTTCATGACATGCACAAAAGGGTGTCAATTCCAAGTAGTCACCAATTAAAATGTTTTCACCATGGAAAAGGGGTTTCATAATCAGGTAAATCGTGATACAAACAAGAAATGGCATTGGAAAGAAGTTCCAATAAAAACAGTGAGTTATACGTCCGAGGATCGCTTATCTGATGAAGAACAAAGAGAACTGCAGCAAATGAGGGAACAAATGTCCAAAATAATGGATAGAATAACCGTGCTGGCCAAAGGAAAATAGGTTTATGCGCAAAAAGAAAAAGAACTCGACAAAAATAAAACTGTAACACAAGAGGCTACTTGTGAACAAAGTGACCCATACAAACTTAAGGAGCCTCATGTAATCATTGCCCGCATCAACAAGTTATCAGTAGGTACAAAAGACACAATGACAAATATAAAATTTCAAGGAAAGATGAAGGAAGAAAAAACACATAATCACTTCAAATGGGAGACACATCTTATGAATGACCGAGAGATAGGAGGGAGTGCACCTGACTTTGATCTTGTTCCTATCGTATATGGAGATTTGTACAGTAAGTTTCTAGAAGCACGAGAAGTGACCCCACAGTATGTGAAACCTCTGCAACCTCCGTATCCGGAGTGGTACAATGACAATGCCAACTGTAAATATCACGCATGAGCTTAAGGACATTATATCGATACATGTGTTGCCTTTAAGCGTCGATTTTATTGCCTGATAGAGCATGAAATACTGGAATTCGAGACGGAATGTCATCCTGGTTCAATAACCAAACATCTGGTTAAAGTGAAGCCAATGGAGTCCAATGACAAAAGCATCAGTGAGAATAACCAAAATGAAGAGCATTTATTGAAATACGAAGCTTAAATACATCAGCTACAGAGAAAAAAGGACATTCTGAACAAAGAATTAGAAGCCATGAAAGATGGTTTTTACAGAATCAATCAAGCCTTCCAAATTATGGGTTTAGGAATACCCCAGATGAATGGGCAAAAGAGGCCTCTAAATTGAAGAATGATGTTGAACGATGGAAAAAAAATTGCAAAATGCATGAAGGACGGGCTAATAAGTACTCTTGAGATCTGCAGATTGCACAAGGTGAACGTATGGAAGCCTTACAAAATTTGGGGCTTTGGTAATGGAAGAATGAATTGTGGACAACCGATTTGATCGACTCAGAAACCAAGCTAGAAGCTAGTAAAACTGAAAATAAAACATTGACCGAGCTGATAGTTGACTGTAAGAACTTTGCACGAGAACTTTATGACCGTGTCTAGTCTTTTGAGAAAAAAATGGCCAATATCGCCAACAGATTCAAGAGTTGAAATGTAAAATGGAGAAAAAAGACAACACGACGAATGAGGCGATTACTCAAGCAAGCAACGTGGCTCACAAGTTGGTCAACTTAGCTACCTTTGCAAGGGATTTGAAGCAGATTGATGGCTCAG